GCTTCTGTCTAAATAAACCCCAGTCAGCCTCGGCAGATGTCCGCTCACACTGAGCCTGGTCCTGCAGGAGGTTTCTTCCTGTTAAAAGGGAGTTTTTCTTTCCACTGTCACTACAAGAATGCTTGGTGTGACGAATTGGACAGAGAAAACCAACTGCAATCAGTTGGTTTTGCTTAGATAGAACATTTTTGACCAATATGTCTGTGTTTCTGTATAAACTGAATTGAATAAAACATTTCTAATTGCAGCTTTTCTCTGTGTGAGTTTCCCCAGGTGGAAATGTCCAACATTCTGCAGGATAATCACACAAAAATCTATATAAAGCATACAGTTATATATCTAAGGCCCGAGAATACTTTTGAATTAGCTTGAAAACGTATTCGTATTAAGCCTGGTGCTTCTGTCATCTAGATACCTATCGTTTTTAAACTTTACATTTCTGTTTATATTTGCAAGTTTAGCACACATATTGATTTCTAGTGTTAATTGCAGAGTGCAGGCGGGTGTTAGTGAATAATAATTATCTGTGTAGTACTTCAGTTGCAGTTCAATATTTAAATGCTTTGTAAGGAACCTAACTATCTGTCCCAGAAAACATCCTGCTTGTCCTTGCAGATTTGAATCTTGCCTGTTAACCAGCGATGCATAATTAATACAGCCTATAGGAACCAGCCTATTCGTTCCATCACTGTGATATAAGAGACCAAATGTTTTAAGATCCTGTCTTCATGTGCTTCCAGAACTCAAGCTATATTGGTGAAAGGACAGATGGCCATCCCTGTCGGTGTGTCTCTCCGCAGCTCCTCCAAACTAATACACCCGGCATATGGGCATGCATCACAAGGTGTGGATGGGCATCAGGCCCTCAGGTGGGCATGCTGACAGCACAGGGGATAAGAGCTGGTCCATATCCACCGGAAACACAGACGACTTACAGCTCTAGCTGGCACATTTCACTCAGACAAACCTTCAGTTTGTCAGGGTGGATGCAACAGCAGAGATTAGGCCTTTTCTAAAGGTGCAGAGCGTCTCAGTGACGGTTTATCCTTATTCAGAACAACCTTAGCTGAAAGGTATCAAGATAATTTCCCTGCCGTCGTCTCTATTCTCCTATCAGAGTGCACTTGAGCTCTCCTTCTGTCGACTCCACACATTCCTGGACCCATCCCAGCTGAGAGGATTAATGGCCTCTCAAAAAGAAAATCACAGGGAATACAGAGTAGATTCATTCTACGCCTCGCATGTCGATAGAATCCACACCTCAGCTGGGATGATATAGGTCAGAGGAAAAAAAGGCACCTGTGCATATAAATACTTTGTGTCTCTGTGGGTATTTAGCCAAAGTCCAAGCACATGCCAGATGGATGCCCTCTGCTGCCACCATGTGGGCAAAGGGGGGAAATGTCAGATGTTGGCCATGTTTCCAGTCTAAAACACCGGATTTGTCCAGAATTACATTTTTCATTTCTATCAAGGATTGTTTTTGATTTAATGTTTTACATCTTCCGTGCAAAATTGCATTTAATTGTAAAGCAAATAGATCAAATAATAAAGAGCAACTTGTGGTTTATTGTTGTCCAATTACTTTATTCTGACAAAAATGAGACTGTGCCATTTCTTTTATGTAAATGTCTGCGAAATTTGGATTTAGGAAACAGGAATTCTTGTGCTATTTGATGTTCTTCCCCAAATGTAATGAGAATATTTAAAATAACTTCTATTTGTTCAATCCATTAAGTGTTTACAGAATGTCTAACTTTTAAACATAACAATGTTTGTTATATGTGAATTATGTCAGAGGTCTGCAGTTTTTAAAAAGCCCTTTTTAACCTCAGTCCATCTTAAGAAACTTGCCAGTTTTTGAAAAAGGTAACAAAAAAAGAGATATTAAAATTTTTGATAAAAACCTACGATAGGATTTAAGGATCTAGATCAATTCTTAAGAATAACAAACTTAATTAACACTATGGTCTTAAAAAAAGAAAACCTTTACAAACCAATACGTTTTCATTATTTTTTTTATATAAAAAAAGAAAACGTTTTTCTACTTGACGTAACAGTTAAAAACTTAATTTTGTGTCATTATGTTGTGGAAACTGATTAAAATGATAGACTTCTAAAGCCCACATTTGTTTTTATATCTTTAGTTTAATATTTACCACCAGGAAGTCTAATCAGTAAACAGAGTGTGTGAAATTTTACCTCAGCAGTGGACAAACAGCATCATGAACATAAAGGGACACCAACAAGTCAGGGAAGATGTTTTAGGAAATCAAGTTATAAAATAATTGCCAAAGCTTTAAATGTCTCTGTCCAAACCAAACATTCAGCTACGCTTCCTATTAAGAATAAGTTGCTCAAACCCGATATTGACAGAAGAAAAAAGTTAAGACTTTGTAAATCCCTCGACTAAAGGCAAACATACCCGACATACATCAATAATAAACAGGTTTCTACAAAAAGAAAAAAATATTATTTCATATAAAATATTGCATGTTTAATTCATTGTTGAGCAGATAAAACTTTTAATTAATTTGAGCTTTTGTCTGAAATTCCTCTCCATTATGATCTACTTAAAAAACAAGATTTTGGACACCACTAGTTCACATAAAAACTTAAAGAATGGTTTCGTCAAAGTCCATGCCAAAATCAGTGAGGATCCATCCATTTCACAATTCCTCCATCCAGTCGGAAAGAGTTTAGGATACATTGAAGACAACCGACAAAGTGTCTGACCTGTATATGTGAAAACGTTGGAAAATAAAGTAGTAGAGCAGGACCTACAGTTGGTTTGACTAAAACCTGACTGATTGGTTCAATCCAAATGCTTGAAAATTGTCCACTTCAAAAATATTGCAGTGATCTTTTTTTCTGAGTCTTTAAAAACTATATATGAACACAGAAAACGGGAAACAGTTTTCCAATTTGAAGTTTTATTATTTGGAAAATTAAGTCTCAAAAAGTCATACATTTCAATAACAGGTGCACACAAATTCAAAGTCAATACATGTAATATCTGGCATTAAGATCTGTCTGAATGTTTACATCGACAAGAAGTCCAAACCAGCAGCGAGAAATCCACATCAGCAAAGAAGACGGCTTCAAGTAAGACGATTCATTACAGCTTGAGTTAGTCCTTTAGGTTAAAATCCATTCATAGGAGAAAATTAAAACTCATGAGCAGTTGAGTATCCATCAACAGGAAATGTCAAATACAGAGAAAAATTATATCAACATCCACTTAATGTGCACTAAACTTAAATAGAGTCTAAAATATTTAACAAGCATTATTTCTATTTTTTTCACAAAGCATTTAACACTGATGAATACAAGCTTAATGGAGCAACAAACATAACTAATAAGAGTCGCTGTTTATGAAGGTTTTAAAATTGCAACAGGGAGAGAATCACAATTAACACAATAAAAAAAAAATTATAACAAGCCGCTTCGGCAATATTCTTTTTCTTTTCTGAAACAAATGACACGTGAAAAGGCTTTACTGCGTGATTTCTTACGGTTGCAGCGGAGCTCACGGATCGTACCGGAATCCACTTCTCTACTACAAATCAACACTGTGCCACACGGAGGAACGGGGCAAACACAGGGAAGCGTGGCGGCGACTACTTCTGCAAATCCACACAGCGATTTCTGAGCTATTTTTAAATAAGAATATGTACAACATCGAGGCTGCAGTCTGTGGCATGTGGATGTCGCAGACTCATAAGTTAGCTGGCTCAGTTACAGTTCACAAACATTAGAAACTAACTGAATGACTAGCAACTGTTACCTAAAATCTACCTTCTAAACTCCCAATATCTGCAAAGCGTGGGGAGCAAAATAATTCATAAAGAAAACAAAAACTACTTAACATCACCATTTCAATACAGTGCCTTGTTTCTCCTGATCACGATGAACATGTTGGGTGCATATTACTGACAGCAGTGAGCAGAGGGAAACAGCTGTTACACGGTTTCACTAAACTAGAGACAAGAGGAACATTTCAAGGTGCATACAGGTTAGTAGATATGGAGTCCTTGGTTGGTGTGCGGGATGAGATTTTTATGTGGGCGCACATGCAGAAATCTCTCATGACCTTTTATTAACAGGCTGCATTCAGAAGCGCTGGGACTCAAATCAAGGCTGAACTAGTAAAACTCACCGGTGTTACCAGTCATCCGTTCATGCACGAGCATCCAGCTCTGAGAAGGGTTGTTGTGGTTGCTGATATACGACCGTGCAGTTTGGTTCTCAGTGTAGGCCAGGTGCTGGGTGCCCTCATCCATTCTGTGTGGTTTTCAATGTCTGCCTCTGGGTGTGTGCGGTGATCTGTGTTGGACCAGTGTGTCTGAAGAAGAAAAGTGTCGGCTGCGGGATGTGTAGGACAGACTATAGGAAAGCGCTCGGATTCGCTCGAGGATCCTTCTGGTTCCTGTAGCGCACGGCGAGCCACACTCCCAGGATCTGTGATTAAACATCAGATGCTTTAATGCATCTCTATGATTTTATGACAAATACTTCTACAGTACAGATGTAAGATCAGGGAAGGATGAATAGATGGAGCTTTTGGACAATGGATGCATTTCCATTAAAACATGAATAACGGTCAATATTCTGCTAATTTCCAACATGCTAATTCTAGAAATTCATATATTTCCATTAAATAAGAAATAAAATAAATCTATTTCAAGTTGCACATCCACATAATCCTCCAACTACTTTCAGTCTTCTTTGATAAGGTCGAAAGTTCTGGTTGCAGATCATGTGACCAGTGTGAAACGAAACTGGTTTCCATTGCAGTTTTGTAAAATATAAGAATTTAGGGGCGAAAGAAAAAAATAAAAACTCATTGAATCATAAAAACTATTCATTAAACCTTTTTTTTTCTTTTTCAAATTGCAGTTTCTTGTTTTTGCAAATTTATTTTTGTAATTACAATTTGCAAAAACCTATGGCTAATGGAAACGCAGCTAATTTCACCCATCTGGAAAGACCCAAAATCCTACATGACGTGAAGATCAAATGAGATCACATCTTTATTATTTAGAGACGGCTTTCCCTAACATCCATTAAAGAATATAAAGTAAAAACAACTGACACCTGAAGCCATGCCTAATGGATCAGAATCGTGTTCTTTCTTAAACAAAGTCTTTTCTATTAATTTAGCTATTCTCAAAATTCCCATTGGCCAGCTTTTTTTGTTTCTGTATTCAATTGAAAACATTCAATTGATGCATTTAAGAGCACATGTGAGAAACTAAAATATTATAGCAAATTAGAATGAAAATAGCTTAAACGCTATTCCCCTTCACATTATTAATGAGTGTATACAACTTTAAATAGAAACACTCGCTTGCCATGGCTGCTTCGCTCCACCAGCAGGTGCGTTTGAGTTGAACACTAAGTTACATATTAAAAAACGAGCCAGCCATCTGATTTAGTTGCAGGCAGCTCCTTCCAGTTTCACAACAGACTTTAAGCCCCGCCCATCATAGCACCCATGAGCTCTCGTCTACATTTCAGCCGAGGCGCTGTTAAACTTGAATGCACTAAATACCACCACCCAGCTGTCCATTCTGTTGAGACTGGCCAATAGGAACACAGGCTCGACTATGACACAGTTTTCACCTCGAGAAAGAAAAATCCTGAATCGACAGCAAAGGTTTTGATAAAGAAAAAAATGTTTTGAGATAAAGTGTTTTTATTCTGATTACAAAAAAACCCCTAATATTTGAGAGTAAAAATATACTTTGAGAAACTCTCTGGAAAACCATTTTCCAAATGTCATTTTATTTATTAGATAAAGTATTTAATCGCAAAACATTTTTTTGTCCCTAATACCATCAGTTTTTGCTATAAGTGTGAACATTTGTTCTCTCCAATATATTTATTTAACTGACAAAAATATTTTCCCCCTTAAGATCGTTTTTTTTCCTAGAATTTAATTAAAAAAAAAAAAAAATAACTTTTGCTTTAGCAAAAAGCTAAAAAACAATCAAAAAGATGACAAAAAAAAAAAAAACTACATAAATCAGCTTTCTGAAAAACTGAAAGCATATGTTCCCTCTTTAACAACTAATGTAATAATCTCATACACATTTAGGAGAGGAAAAAAAAGTAATCTCGTAGTTTTACCAAATGAACTCCAACATTTAAGCTTTTAGCAGCCCAATACACTACAGGGCAGATCTACAGAAAAAGCTACAAATCCATTCATCTAATTATACACAGCAGTGGAGACAGAGTATCTTTGAACAGCAACCACTGAGTGTTTTGGAATCAGATTCTCACCTCTGAGAAGCTGAAGAAGAGCCCAACGCCCCCAAGGATCTTCAGAGCCTCTGTTGCATGATTCAGCATCTTATCCCCACAGGACTGACAGCGGTCTTCCTTTTTGCATGGCTGGAGTGAAACATAGAAAAATAAAGTAGCCTGACACAGCTTTCTTTTGTAGAAGGAAATTTGACAATAACACTAGAAAAGAATAATAAAAAATATAAATGAAAACATCAATAAAATGAAACTTCAGACTCACAGCGCGGCAGTTTTCCACGTCAGCTTCAAACGTTTGCCTGCTGTCAGTGGTGTTCAGCAGCCCGCAGCAGTTGAGTTGACTCTCCAGGTCGGTCTTTGTGTCATTCAGCATAATCCCCCAGGTGGAGTTGAGAAGAGCCACCTGGGAAAAAAAAAAAAATAAAAATAAGGATTCCACCTCACGATTTGGATCAATTCGCACAGAGATAAATCATCTAAATAAAACGAGCCGTTAGCTAACCTGTTGTCCTCGGTTCATTGCCAAGCAGGAACAGGAAACTCCAAATTGGAAGAGGAAAACAATAAACAGGATCACCATGTACTGGCAACAAGTTAAAGAATCAAAGCAGCCCTGACAAATATCTGAATTACACCAAACATTCAACTGAGGCCCCGTCCACACGAAGTCAAAACGAACACGAAACGCTAATGTTTTCCAGAACGTTTGTCGTAAAGACGGAGACGTAAAATAAATGTGATCGTCCACACGAATGCATGAAAACGCTGCAAAATGTATGCCAGGCCCGTAAGTGGCGCTGTGGTGCCAAAGCAAAAATAGACGACGAAATGTTGGGCATGCGCACTAATATTTACACATGGTTGCCCTGCGGGTCCATTTTCGTGGTTCAGTCAAATTCAGGTGCTGAACTATGTCGTCGATATTGCTCTGTTCTTCCTGGAGATATTCCAGAAGAAGAAGATTCTGTTGTAAGCCCGACAGCAGGGTGAGTAGCATGAGCAGCAACCATTCAACACAGTACGGCGCCATTGTTGTTGTGATACTGTGTCGCGCATGCGTGTTTAGAGGCGACGCTATGACGCATGCGGGTAAAAAAAAAATGCGGTTAGAGCTTAAAGATGGAAACGCGAAAACGGCGTTTCAAAATCTTCCCACTCTGAAGGCTGAATAAAAAAAAGATTGTTTACAGACCCCCGAAACGCCGGCTTTGTGTGGATGAGAGGCTGGTTTGGTGAAAAATTTGTGCGTTTAGGCCAGGGTTCGGCTTCGTGTGGACAGGGCCTGAGATTTGTGGAAAAATCCGGGACCTTCCTGTGAGTCTGAGTTAATGCCAATCAAAGAAAGGATACAAAGAAAAGCATGACTTGGTGGTGGTGTATCGCTCCTATGAGTCCAACAATGGCGATAAGCAGCAGGAAGACGCCCACTGCTATGACTCCTCCGATGATATGGATGCTCGACACCAAGCCGAAACCCTTCCCCCATGCTGCAACTCCAATGAGCAGGAGCCCAACCAGCTGGAGGGACAAAAGGAAAGAAGTTAACAACGATCAGCTGAGGCTCTACGCATTGGAACTAAGTTTAGCACAGTAACCCCACAAATCCTGAGAATTTATCTTACAAACCGCACTTCAACCTTTATTGAGCCTTTTCAAAGTTAAGCTGTCAGAACAGCTTAACATAAGGTCAATATTTAACACAAAGTCAGACAAAGATCAGATTCATTTAGCCTTGATTGTGTACATTCTTCTTGTACAAACACATACAGTACATAGGCCTTTCTAAAATAACATAACCAAATTATTTCTGTTCAAGTATTCCTTGGAGGACTTAGCTAAGGTATCATCAGGAAGCAAGTTTGTGGCTTCTGAACACATCAGCGGTGACTCAGTCAGCTAGCTGTTCAGTGACTCAGTCATCAACAACATGCTTGAGTTAAACACGTGTCTCACTGTGTCAGTTTTTTTTTTTCTGGGATGCAATGCAACATCCAGCTTGATGCAGATCTGCTGTTGAAATGTGCATTAGTTACGCAAAACCAGATTAGTAACAAGCGTTATGCTGCATTCATAGGTAACTTGGCTCCAATTTGTAACATCTAAATGGCTTACAGAACCTATAGGGTTGAATAACAGGGATGTAGGGTCAACAAAAATATAGTCACATTCTAAGATTGACTGTCACATTTTATGTTGGTATGCAATCATGGATGTCGTGACTGTTACATGACAGCCATGGCATTTTAGACATTTTTTTAATGAGAAACTATTAAATCTATTGTGCACTTTACACTCACTATTTGTTGCTGCTCCCCAGTCACTCAGCCTTTTATTTCCCCTCTTCTAAATTCATTGTTTACATCCTACAATTCACTTCTTCTACCTTCTTTTCTGCTGTGGAAGCACTAGCATGCCACCCACTAGAGTTGCATAAGTATGACACATTTATTACGACATTTTTAGCTTCAAGTAGGTTCATCTTTAAATTTAGGCTCCATCCAAATTCATCAAATTAAAGAAGAGATTATTATGCAACACTAATGTGCAAATTAGGACTAGAACTTTCCAGAAATGAAGCACATAAAAGGGAGAAACAAATGTAGATGGCTGAAACTCTCTATTTTCCAACTCAAAACATAGAAATATGACTACATAAGCATGAGTCACACAGAATACATGTGAAGATATTTATTTTTATTTCACTCCGTGAGGTGGCCTAAGCCTATAGGAACATCCGGTGGTTCCTAAGCTACTTAATTTAGCATTTAGCTTCCTCTCTGTCAGCGCCATTAGGACAGAACGTATGGTGATCGCTGACATTTGCAGATTTGCTCAATTCGAATGTCCTCTTATGCTTTTCTGCGCAGAAACCTTATTCAACTTCTTTTGGGTGTAGCTTCAATTAGGCCCTGCATTATACCACAGGACGCCAGCTCTTGGGAACTATATATCACGTTGGTTTCTTAATAAATATCATTTGCTCTTTTACCGTAGATTAGATAGTATTTTTATTTTATATTTTTTTTACATACGGTAGTTTTGAATAATTGCCAATATACTTACTATCGCTATTACAGGAATAAAAGTATTTAATTATTTCATTTCATAGTACTTTCATTAAAATACCATATTGTTTAGTCATGAACAGGGCATTATGGCTGATTTAAGAATGATTAAAAGACAATTGGCTTTGCCTTTTCCAGCAAAAAAAGCAGGCCATTGCTAAATAATTGTTTCCTGAACGTTTATTGAAGTTTTATATCTTATTGAAGTAAATCTTCTCAGAAATAGGAACTTTATCTTACATTTGGGTATGCCTGTTTGTACATAAAGCTGAGTCAAGTGATATCTAAACTGAAGGATGCTCCAAAAAAGAAGTAATGGATAGGATCATTAAAATTTTTTTTAATATAACTTTTACAATTTACTTGTTGAAAAATACATTAAATACATCTGATATAAATAATATATATTATTAATCTACACGAGAATAACCTTACTTTGGCCATACCTCGGCTTATTTAGGGATACATTTATTTAATCTTGGCTGTCTGAATACGAAATCGACACTATATCTTTTTCTACCAGAATCTTATCACAATTTCAATGCTGATTTGTAAATTTTTCATCTATTTGCTGGAATTGTTTGTTGACATTGTAACTCCTACACATAGAAATGATTAAAGTGAGGATCATCAGCTGAGCATAACACTCCGTTTAGTAAACAAAGCTGTCACATGAGTAGATCTAGATCAACCAGTGTGACTGTAAGCACTGTAGAAACAGAGATAACAGATTTTACATGACCAGTTTCAGTATTTCGCTCAGCTGATGGCCTCGCAGCTAACGGTAGCTTTAATTCACATAACGGCTAAAGCTAACGTGCTAACGTTAGCCGCTATTCTACAGTGCTATTCAGAAGCCCGAGCTATAAACCATTTGGCGTCTAGGAGTTAAATACATACCATTCCTTTGTGAAATAGAAGCAGAGTGCATGTGAACAAAATGTTTACAACATGAGTACTTTCAGTTGCGCTGTTAGCTAGAATAAGTAGCTAGCTAGCCTTATCTAAGCATTACGCCACTACATTCAGCGGCTGCTGCTTAGCATTTGGCTAAAACTTAGCATCTGTATCACCACTCACCATGTAAACAACATTCAGGGAACAGAGGGCATTTTTCGAACAGGTGAATCCGCCACAAACCATATTAGAAAACACTACTGATTTCAGATGACCTGAAGAATATTGTCCACTATCCCGGCTATGAGCTACGCCGACGTTTACTGGACTCGATTGGTGGAGAGGGCGTAACCGGTTACGTCAAACTGACGACTGACGTCAAGGCTCTCACTTCGACGCCCATTCTGAGCTCCTTCCTTCTTTGTGAGGCTTCATTACTGCAGGAGGGATCGCAACTAGATGTTTCTGCTGTTGTTATTTGTTGCTTTTTTTCTTTTTTTTTTATCAAAACAGATCTTTGATCAAAATGAGATTTGGGATTTCAATTAGAAGCCATAAAGGTTATGGTTGGCTCTATATTATTAAAAGTGACTGACAGAATAAAGAAAATAGCTTATGAAACCACTTCTTACCTGGTTGAAGTAGCTGGAAGAGCAAACCCGGCGCCTGTCGAATTCGCGCTATTTCAACGAAACATCGCGAGAATATAGCTAATATCCCCGGGAAAAGTGCTCCGTGGG